TATTGGAAAAATAATTTAATATGTCATAATTTAGATGTCATGCAAATTGAAAAAAATGTGTGTGACAATATTATTGGGACGTTATTAGATATGGAAGGAAAAACAAAAGATAATCTGAATGCTCGTCGTGATTTGAAGGAAATGGGTATAAGAAGAGATTTGCATCCAACTCAAAGAGATGGAACATGGTATTATCCAGCAGCATGCTATACTTTATCACCAGAGGAGAAGTCTAAAGTATGCAAGTTTTTGAAAAATATTAAGGTTCCAGATGGTTATTCTTCGAATCTATCACGGTGCGTAAAGTTAAAGGATCGTAAAATTTATGGACTGAAGAGTCATGATTCTCATATTCTTTTGGAACAGCTGCTTCCTTTTGCAATACGCGGTGTTGAGCCGAGCAATGTCTATGCTGCTATTACTGAGCTAAGTATTTTCTTTAGAGAGTTATGTTCGAAAACAGTAACAGTTGATGTGTTAGATCAGCTTGCAACTCAAATTCCAATAACATTGAGCAAATTAGAAAAAATATTCCTACCAACATTTTTTGATATTATGGTGCACTTGGTCATTCATCTTCCAAGAGAGGCTAAGATTGCTGGGCCTGTACAATACAGGTGGATGTACCCAATAGAGTGGTATGTTTTTGTATTTCATAATTTCAATTTATTGTGGTTTATTAATTTATCATGCTAAGCGTTTTAACTGCCTATTACTATTATTATCATCATGTAGGTTCTTGCGAAAATTGAAATGTTATGTTCGTAATAGATGTCGACCTGAAGGATCTATTGCAGAAGGATATATTGTTGAAGAAAGTCTGATATTTTGTTCAAGGTATTTACATGGAAGTGGGAAAGAGAATAATCCAGTGGACAAAAATTGTGAAGGTGATCAGGTTGAGCCATTCAGTAGATTATCAATTTTTGAACAAAAGGGTTGCCCTTTATTAGGAGATACATCCAGAAATCTTGAAGAGCTTGAGCGAAAACAAGCTCATCTTTATGTTTTGAGAAATTGTGAAGAAGTTCAACCATTTTTGCGGTACGTTTTTTTATGCCATTGTACATTTCTGCTTGATTTTGTTAGCCTTTTCTCAATTATTATGGTTATTTTAAACAGTGAGTACGAGAGTGAGTACGAGCAGAATAATAGGAACATGAACTTCGATGATTGGTTTTTCCATCGAGTAAGTTTTCATTACATTGTTAATTTTTATTTGTAATACTTCTTTAGCATCATTATTTTATTTATTTATTATTATACAGATTGTGCAAATGCGCAAGAAAGGAAATTCACAAGTAAGTTGCAAGTTGTATTCTTTGGCTAGAGGTCCTTTTGATGGAGTCCAAAGATTTAAAGGGTATGAGATAAATGGTTTTAGATTTCATACTAAACAACTCGAAGGAAATAGGGTGAAGCAAAATAGTGGTGTTTTAGTACGAGGAATAATGAATGGCCAAAATATAAATTATTATGGTACTCTGACCGAAATAGTAGAACTTCAATATCTTGAAGGTAAACGGATTGTTTTATTTAAATGTGATTGGTTGGATGTTGATCACATTGGAAAAGGAGTGAAGATAGATAAACATGGCTTTGTTAGTGTCAATACTAAACGAAAGCTAGCAACAAATGAACCATTTGTTCTTGCATCTCAAGCAGAACAAGTTTTTTATGTCAAGGATAGTCTTCATCCCAATTGGTCCATTGTATTGAATGATCATTCTACTTATTTTACTGGTGGTGCTCTCAGTGAAGAAACTTTTCAACAAAATGCTCAAGAGTTCGCGTGTACATTTGAGGAAGATGAAGACTTTATGAACTGGAAAAGAAATGATCTTGACGTTATCAGCACTAATGTTACCTTAGATGATGATATTATTGAAGACATCGAATCAGAACCTGAAACTGAGGATGAAGATTTATTACTGTAAAATATTTAGAAGTCTTATATGCATATTTGTTTATCCTCAAGTAATGTTAAACTTTTACTTATTTATTTGAGACGGTGTTTAGTTCTTTATTATTTTAAAGAATTTATGTATTACTTTATTATATTGATGAATTACTCTAATTGAATATGAGTTAATATTCAATAGTGTTGACTTGATAATTTTAGTTGGATTGAGTTGAATGATCTTTTCTACAAGGTGTTACGTTGATGGATGCTTAGGGGAAACTATGGCGAATTTTTTATTAAATTAATAAATAAATATTGTTAAACATAGCATAGTTGTTTATAGAAATAGATTCTCGATGCATGACACTTGATTTAGGAATAGCTATGTGATTATAAGAATTTTAATAAATTTCACACTTGAATTTATAAACTCTAACAAATTCAACCAAAGTCCCTTGCATTCATTCCAACTAATGAATTAGTGACTAAACCTCTGTCTTCCTACTCTTTATAATTTTGTTTCATAATTGTCACAAGGCGTGTAAAATGTTTGTCCTCTTTTTATAAATACAAATGTATCTATATCTCTTGATAAGGAAAAACCCAATTAAGAAATTATCTATTATGAAGTTTTATAATTTTAGATGCTCTTTGCGTGTCAAATTTTTTAATAAGCTTCTAAAATAGATTTTTCGTTGAGTTGTCTCGTGTAGGCTTTTCCTGAGCACATATGTCCCAACAGTTGCTATAAGTTTTGGAAATTGTAGCAAGACTATTTTTTTTAGCTATGGAATTATGTGCAAACAAATGTATCGTGGCTAGAAGATTACAATTGCTACAGTGACTTCATATGCATAGCAAAACTTAGAATTAGCTACAATATTTATTGTAGCTATATAAATTCGTGGATATTTTATTTTTGCCATGATATTCATCGTAGCTATTGAGCTAATTATTGCCACAACTTTTATAACTTGAAGCAAATATATTCGATATTTTATTTGACATAATTTATTGTGGCTAAATAATATTGTTGCTACAATAAATTAAATGCGTGGCAAAAACTAACAATTAGCTACAAATTTATAATGTAGCAGTAAATGTGTAGCTATTTTCGCAGTTATTGTCACGATACTAACCAACTATAGCAAAAAGTAGGAATTAGCTTTGCCAATTTACTTTTTGTAGCTAAGAAATTTTACCAAATTGTGAACAGCCACGAAATTTCAATTTTTATGGCTATTGCTAGATAATAGCCACGCTTTTTTTATTCGTAGCAAAGAATTCGTAGATGTAGATGCATAATGTTGTAGTGTGTGACTTTCCCTTTTATTGCTGTTTTGGGAATACAGACTTTACCTTTGTCATAATAAGATAATTATGGGTAATTAATGACCTTAAATGTTACGTTATGCAATCATATACATTAAATACATATTCTCTAACGTTTCTAGTATTTAATACTCATTAAATGCTGTATCTGAGCTCTTTTTTGCTGTCAGATTCATTCCTTTGACTCTTCTCGATCTTTGACCTTTGAATGTCTTGAATAGGTACGAGCGTTGACTATTTGTATGACTGCTCGTGCCTTCTTCATTTAACTTGCTCGTATCTGTTGTTGGTCGTGTCTGTTAACCAACCNGTTCTCGTAGTTGAGTTTTTCCTGAGCACATATGTACCCAACGAGTTTGCTAGCTAAGTTTTGGAAATTGTAGCAAGACTAGTTTTTTTTAGCTATGAAATTATGTGCAAACAAATGTATCGTGGCTAGAAGATTACAATTGCTACAATGACTTCATATGCATAGCAAAACTTAGAATTAGCTACAATATTTATTGTAGCTATATAAATTCGTGGCTATTTTATTTTTGCCATGATATTCATCGTAGCTATTGAGCTAATTATTGCCACGACTTTTATAACTTGAAGCAAATATATTCGATATTTTATTTGACATAATTTATTGTGGCTAAATATTTATTGTTGCTATAATAAATTAAATGCGTGGCAAAAACTAACAATTAGCTACAAATTTATAATGTAGCAGTAAATGTGTAGCTATTTTCGCAGTTATTGTCACGATACTAACCAACTATAGCAAAAAGTAGGAATTAGCTTTGCCAATTTACTTTTTGTAGCTAAGAAATTTCACCAAATTGTGAACAGCCACGAAATTTCAATTTTTATGGCTATTGCTAGATAATAGCCACGCTTTTTTTATTCGTAGCAAAGAATTCGTAGCTGTAGATGCATAATGTTGTAGTGTGGGAGGAAGTGAGAAACTAAAAGTTGAGTTTTTAGGGGTAGCAACTGGTGACAATGCTGGTGATAATAGGCAAGTTATAATGAGAGGAAAAGAAAATACAATGGGCACATGGTTGGATTGGATTACTTGAAATCACAAAGGAACAATATAGGCATCATCAGAGCAAGAATGAGTTGCAGTCAGAATGGTAAAACATGTTAAACATATTAAACTATGCAAGTAAATCACGCGTTTGTGCAAAGAAAGAAGCTAATCAATCATAATTGAGACGGAGGAGATGCAAAAAAAGAGACTTTCGAGCCTGTAAGCAGCCAACACAAAATGACTTATCACTTATCAGTATTGTGCGCGCTAGCTTGTAGTTTAGGGTTATAGTAGGAGCGGCCCTTTCTCAAGTTTCTTTTTATAACATAAGGTAAGCTCTTTGTTAGTTCTTTAAAATTTGTCTAGCCATTTTCATCTTGCTCCATCACTTAGGAAAGAAACTTGAAGTGTGCTCAAGACTAATATAAATATATAATGATGATTACAATTGACAGTTTATAGCTTTTTTGCCAGTTCTTAAATGGAATTTTAGTTTTTCTCGTTGTAACGGGTAACTGGTACTGCACAAAGATGCATGAATTTTCATGGTTGATGACAACTTCTTTTTCTTCTGCTTTCGCATCTTTGAATCAGAGGCGGATTCACGAATTTAATCAAGTTTGGAGAAGAAACATCTAGACGCTTACAGTAGATTAGGGAATACGAGAGCAAAGAGGAAAATATCTTTATTGCTGAAAGAATGAAAGTATATCTGTACAAAAAATAATAGAAAATACTCTATTTATATTATTTACAAATGGACCGGGTCGGATCAATGTAATAAATATGGGCCGGTGACTTTGGGTCTTTGGGCTTTTGCTCTTCATTCTCTTTATGGACTTCAACACCCCCCCTCAAGCTGGAAGGGGAATCCATTCCAAGCTTGGAGATAAATGCCTTTTGATGAACACCCAACAGAGATTTAGTAAAAATGTCAGCAACTTGTAGGGAGGTAGAGATAGAGTGTAAAGCGATAACCCCTGACTTCAAAGCATCCCTCACAAAATAACAGTCCACTTCAATATGTTTCGTCCGTTTATGAAAAACAGGATTCTTCGCAATATGGATCGCAGACTGGCTGTCACAATAAATATCAACAGGAGCAAGATTAGCAACACCAAGCTCAGTCAACAATCTGAGAACCCAAGTCACCTTAGCAACAAGCAGCCGCAAGGCCCTATACTCAGCCTCAACAGAGGATAGGGCAATGGTGGGCTGCTTCTTAGATTTCCAGGCAATAGGAGAACCACCAAGGAAGAGTATCAAACCACTAACAGACCTTCGAGAATCAGCACAGCTGGCCCAGTCAGAATCACAAAACCCATGAAGAGTAAGATCAGAAGAACTGGACAACAACAAGCCTAGAGTGGGTGTCCCAGTTAAGTACCTAAGCACATGATAGGCTGCATCCAAATGGGGTATCATTGGGGCAGACATAAATTGGCTCAAATATTGGACGGTAAAAGAAATGTCTGGCCTAGTATGTTGGAGAAAATTCAATTTCCCCACCAATCTTCTATATCCAGAAGGATCAGACAGTAGATCTCCAACATCAGTTGAGAGCTTGGAGTGAGGATCAAGGGGAGAGACCACAGGAGAAACAGCTGAACAGTGAAATTCAGAAAGAAGATCCACAAGGAACTTATGCTGGTTAATCAAAAACCCATTAGATTGTTTCAGAACTTCCAAACCAAGGAAATAGTGTATCTCATCAAGATCCTTGATCTTAAACTGATTATCTAGAAAACTCTTCAAAGTAGTAATCTCTAACAAATCATCACCTGTAATAAGGATATCATCTACATAGACTGCCATGACAGTTAAATAGTTAGCATGCAGTTTTATAAACAATGAGTAATCATTCATACTTGGTTGAAAACCTTTAGATTGAAGGGCAGATGACAACTTGGCATACCATTGCCTGGAAGCTTGTCTAAGACCATATAGGGACTTATTAAGCTTGCAGGCAAGAACAAGTCCAGAAGAAGTGGATTGAACACACAAACCAGGTGGAATTTTCATGTATACCTCTTCGTCAAGATCTCCATGCAAAAAATGCATTGTTCACATCTAACTGAAACACTGTCCAATTTCTCTTACTAGCTATAGTCAGCAAACATCTAATTGTGGTCAATTTAACTACAGGGGAGAAAGTCTCAGTAAAGTCAACCCCTTCCTGTTGGCTATCACCTCTAATGACTAACCTGGCTTTATATCTTTCAATAGACCCATCTGCCTTTTGTTTAATTTTGTAGACCCATTTACAAGGAATTGCTTTCTTTCCAGAAGGAAGTGGCACAATAGTCCAAGTGTTATTAGCATCCAAGGCCTGAAACTCCTTTAACATAGCTTCCTGCCATGCAAGATGTGAAACAGCTTGATGAAAAAATTGAGGTTCCACCAAGCTTGAGTCAGGAGTAGGAGAGCAATTCTTAGAACTAGTAACTAAGGTGCAAACATAATCATTTAGGTGTACAGGGGTTTTAGATGGTCTTTCAGATCTTCTGAGAGGAGGATCAGAATTAAAAGGAGGAAGTGTAGAACTAGAGGAGGGAGCAGATGGCAAAGGAGGAGAGGAATGAGGAATTGTTAAGGTGGAATGAAATTCATGTGCATCATCAGTATAAGGAGATACAAGAGGAAATAGATGAGTAGTAGATGAATCTGAATAAGGAAATAGGTTCTCATGAAACACCTCATCCCTAGAATGAAAAATGGATGAGTTAGACAAATTTAACAACTTATAGGCTTTCTTTCCTGGAGCATATCCAATAAAAATAGAAGGAATTGTCCGATACTTGAATTTATCTCAATATGGCTTAGGCACAACAGCAAAGCACAAGCATCCAAAAGCTCTTAAGTGTTTAAAAGAAGGGAAGGAACCATGCAGCAATTCAAAAGGGGATTTATGATGAAGTAGAGGGGAAGGGAATCTATTTATGAGATAAGTAGCAGTTATAATACATTCTCCCCAGTATTTAAGTGGAAGTTTAGATTGAAAAAGGAGTGCTCTAGCAGTTTCAAGAAGATGCTTATGTTTTTTTTCCATTACACCATTTTGTTTAGGAGTATGTGGGCAAGAAGTCTGATGAAGAATTCCTTGGGCAGAGAAGAATGAAATAGCCTCAGAACTGCCCCTAATTCAAATGCATTATCTGATCTCACTACCTTAACATGAGAACTGAATTGAGTTTGAATCATAAAGATAAATGATTTTAGAATGGTAAAGGCATTGGCTTTAGAAGATAGGAGATGAGTCCATGTTGCCCTAGTAAAGTCATCTACAATAGTTAAGAAATATTTGAATCTATTATATGTTTGAGTGTGATAGGGCCCCCATAGATCCACATGGATTAACTGAAAAGAAGCAGTAGTTTGAATAGAACTTTCAGGGAAAGGGAGTCTTTCTTGCCTGGCCATAGGGCATATTGGACACAGAAAAGACTGTTTGTGGGGTAACTTGTTGGAAAGAAAGGGTATGCGTTTCATTTTGGCAAAAGGGGCATGTCCTAATCTCAGGTGCCATATGCGTTTCATTTTGGTTCTGATATTCTGAGATAGACAGAATATCAGAACCAGTTATATTATTCCCAGAACCAGTTATATTATTCCCAGAAACAGCACACACAGGAACAGAAGGATGAAAACTGCTCTTATTCATTTCATTAATCAGTAATGGTATTTACAAGAAAAGAAGGGGAAGAATTGGAATTACTAAGGGCAGCTTGTTGAAGAATGTATAGCCCCTTCTGAAGCTTACCAAGAACCAGTGGCTTCTTCAGAAAAGGGCCCTGCAATAGAGCACAAGCATAATGAGTAAAGAAAGCATTGCACTGAAGTTGTACCAACAATTGATGCAAAGAAATGAGATTGTAGTGAAAAGAGGGAACAAGTAAAACATCAGGAAGAAACATTGTGTTGGTAAGGAAAAGAGTACTAGTACAGGTCACTTTAACCTTATAGCCATTAGGAAGTGTAACAAGATAGGGTAATGGAAGAGTTTTAATATCAGTGAGTAGTGTTGCATGAGGAGTCATATGATTAGTTGCACCTGAGTCTATAATCCAAAAACTGTCCTCTACCCTAGACAGATTGCAAGTGTGAAAACCACAATTATCAAAAGCAGTATTAGTTATCAAACCTGCAAAGTTGGCTGAAGCAGATGTGCTCTCCTGAGCAGTGGATGAAAACTTGGATTGTTGAAGTAGAGTTATCAACTGATCATACTGTTCCTTTGTCAAAATATTCCCTCCAATGTCGAGTGGAATTGCTTTAGATCCTTCAGAATCAGAATTATCAGGTTGTCCCATATTGGATGGTTCTGACACATGAACATAAGCTACAGACCTCTTGAATTTGGCTCCAAAACCAGAAGGATACCCATGTAGTTTGTAGCATTTATCAATGAGATGTCCTGGCTTCTTACAATATCTACACATCAAATTAGAGTTGCCCCTATTTGCCGAGTCAAAATTTACCCTTGAATTAAAAGGCTTCTGAATGGTAGCTTCTGAATTGTAAGCAGAACTGAAGGGCTTCTGAACTCCAGTAGCAAAAGAAGCAGAATCTGAAATAAAGGCTGGATTGGAGGACAGACTCTCAACTTGACTCTCATCTTCTATCAACATTGCATATACACTGTCAATATCAGGCAAGGGCTTCATAAGCAAGATATTTCTCCTAACTCCAGTGTAAGACTCATTTAGCCCCATTAAGAACTGATGAACCTTTTGCTCTTCTTCTATCTTCTGAAATGCTTCCTTACATCCACAAGTGCAATCTGGATATGAGATAGAGTACGCTAATTCATCCCAAAGTTTCTTAATACGGTTAAAATAATATGCAATGCTGGAGGATCCCTGGGAGATGGATGCAAGATCCTTTCTACTTTAAAACAGCTTAGTACTATTTGCCTTGCCATAGCGCTGCTCAATCTCTTGCCACAGTTTTTGTGCGGATTCAGTATACATCACGCTCTCTCTAATTTCTGTATCCAAGCTATTTAGTATCCAAGCAGTGACCATATCGTTACAACGAATCCATGGTTCGAACAAAACAGAATTTGCTCTAGGCTTAGGGATAGTTCCATTTATAATTCCCAACTTGTTCTTACATGACAAACCAATCAGCATGCTTCTTCTCCATCCTCCATACCCCGTCCCATTAAAACATTTTGTAACCAAAACTGTACCAGGGGAATCAGAGGGATACAGGTATAAAGGATGTGACGACTCAACAATACTAGATGAAGCAGTAGTGGTAACATTTGAAGCATCAACATTAGGGGCCATAGCAAAGTTACTTCGAGAAATTAGGGTTCCGAAATTCACCAAACTAGAACTCAGTGAAAACACAGTTATAATTGGAAGAAAATTACCAAATTTTCTGTGAAATTGAAAGGCAATAACCTTCAATTGGAAGATAAAAGGAAAATCTCCACCTCCGAGCTTCACCGGAAAGACATATTGAATCACCACAACATCGTCGTGGGAAAAACTGAAAACTTCAGAGAACAAATAGGGCTAACATCAATCCGCCGGAAATCATGCGAGCTACGTCATCCTTGGCTCTGATACCATGAAAACTAACGGATTCTTCACAATGCATAAGTTTGGAGAAGAAACATCTAGACGCTTACAGTAGATTAGGGAATACGAGAGCAAAGAGGAAGATATCTTTATAGCTGAAAGAATGAAAGTGTATCTGTACAAAAAATAATAGGAAATACTCTATTTGTATTATTTACAAATGGACCGGGTCGGATCAATGTAATAAATATGGGCCGGTGACTTTGGGTCTTTGGGCTTTTGCTCTTCATTCTCTTTATGGACTTCAACAATGCTGAATTTAATTCTATAGGGTCAAATTTTAGATTCCAATAACAAAAACCATCACCTTGTTTGAAGTATGAGTTCATATATAATTCAATAGTTTCATTAATTGTAATTGATTTTACAAAAGTAAGTTCAGATCTAGGCTAAAAGTTATGGTTCAAATGAACCTGTATCTACACCACTAGATCCGCGCCTCGCTACTGTGTAAATGATTTGAAAGTGTAAGACTTGAGAAATTATGCACGAGCGATGAGACGTCAATCAATCAATTACAGCTCAAACTCGACGTACTTAATTGGGGTCAGTAGTAATTTTGCGCTAACATTCCTCTTTAATGTGTGTTATCCTTGTGTGTATCACTACTCTACCCAAATTTAGGTCTCCTTTTTGCTTATCGTGCTATATACTTTGTTGAAAGTAATAGAGAAATATAGTTGTCCCTCATCCGATGTTTAACGAGTTTATAATATCTTGGACCACGTCACTCATTGCCTTAAATTTTTTGATTGAATGCTCAATTTCTTTCACAGAAACAACATATATAGGAAAAGTTTAGTTGAACTCTTATGCAAATTAAAAACACAAAAGAAAAGTAAAAAAGAGATACAGGCTTACAACCAGAGAAACTTCAACAAGAATAGACAAGAACAATGCATGCTTACTGTCATGGGCGGCTTTCCAGCCATGCCGCATGGCCCCTTGGGCGCGTCCCGTGGCGTCCTAGCAAACCTCCCAATGCCTAGCGCCACGGACGGCCCTGTGGTCTTGGCCGCACCAAGTGACAAGCGCGTAGGTGCCTCTGTCGCCCCACCGATATCCCTCGCGAGCGCCATGCCGCAGGCAGAAGCCAACAGCGCCGCGTGCGCAGACAACGCCGCGCGCGCAGACCGTGATGCCAAAGACACTGCTGCTGACAACGGACCTGCTGCTGCCTTATAGAAAACTAAGTCATTTTCATTGTAAATATAGAGTAGTTTTATTTCATGTACTTCCATTATGTTTCTCTAGCTTAGTCAAGTCTAGTCTTGTAACTTTGGATTATTTTTTTTAAGTACTATTAGGGGGNACTCGCGCTTCACTAGCAACTTTTTGGACCCAACTCTTCAAGTGCCTTGGGTCAAAATTGAGTCACAGCTCAAGTTTTCATCCGCAATCTGATGGCCAGACGGAGCGGTTCAATGGTATGTTGAAGGAATACCTCCGCCACTTTGTAACCGGATCGCAGAAGAATTGGGTGAAGCTTCTGGATGCTGCTCAACTGTGTTTCAATTCCCAAAAGAGCTCTAGTACCAACAAAAGCGCTTTTGAAATTGTTACCGGACAACAACCGCTACTCCCACACACTGTGAATGCACCAAACATGGCTAAATCTCCTCGAGCTGCCAGCTTCTCAAAAGAGTGGAGGCGGAATTTGGAGATAGTGCGGAGCTACCTTGTCAAAGCCCAAAAGCGGATGAAGAGGCATGCTGATCAGAATCGTCGCTTTGTTGAATATCAAGTAGGAGACAAAGTGATGGTCAAAATTCCAAAGCGGTACTTATTTGCAGGGGTCCATGACCCTCGCCTATTGCAAAAATACATTGGACCCTTGTCCATTGAAAAGCGTATTGGGAAGGTTGCATACCGGGTGGATACCCCAGCTTGGTGGAAAATTCATCCTGTCTTCCATGTCAGTCTCCTGAAACCTTTTCGGGAAAACACGGAGGATCCTTGAAGGAGCCAGCTCACAATACCCAGTATTCGAGGTCCCAATTCAACTGGGAAAAGGCGTGTTGAAGCTATCCTTGATGACAGAGTGATTCATGCCTCAAGGAAAGATCACCAAGAGTTTTTGGTGAATTGGCAGGGCTGTGATGCAGAAGAGAATACTTGGGAGAGGGGAACAAACCTCAAAGCCTACAAGAGCCTCATTGAAGATTATTTTGCAAGTAAGGCGCCGAGGACGTCGCCAGCTCAGGTGGGGGAGAATGTCATGGGCGGCTTTCCAGCCATGCCCCATGACCCCTTGGGCGCGCCCCGTGGCGTCCTAGCAAACCTCCCAATGCCTAGCGCCACGGACGGCCCCGTCTTGGCCGCGCCAAGTGACAAGCGCGCAGGTGCCTCTGTCGCCCCACCGATATCTCTCGCGAGCGCCAAGCCGCAGGCAGAAGCCAACAGCGCCGCGCGCGCAGACAGCGCCGCGCGCGCAGACCGTGATGCCAAAGACACTGCTGCTGACAACGGACCTGTTGCTGCCTTATAGAAAACTAAGTCATTTTCATTGTAAATATAGAGTATTTTTATTTCATGTACTTCCATTATGTTTCTCTAGCTTAGTCAAGTCTAGTCTTGTAACTTTGGATTATTTTTTTTAAGTACTATTAGGGGGGATCAAGCAATCAAAACTTTCTAGCAAGCAAGCAATTCTCTGTACTGGTGTCTCTCCCCCTCGACACCGCGTTGCTTTTCTGTAATAGCTTTCATTAATGCAATCAAGCTTTCTTTCATTCTGAATTCTCATTTCTGTTCTCTCAATTGCTCTTGACATTGGTTTTCCCGTACGGCACTGACAATCGTCTAGCGTACGAGGGGACCTCAGTTGGCGGACAACAACTGCACTGACATCAGTTGCCTAGCCTTACGTCGCCCTTCCAAGGAATCTCAGGAAGGCGCCGCGTAATATTACACACGTGAACACACAATTTCGAAGCAATCTCGATTTTATGATGTTGATAGAATCATATCTTTTGGGTTAAAAAAAAATAATAATCTTGGTTTAAAAGGTGATAAATATGCGTTTAAGCTAATACAACTCTCTTTTGTGCAACTCATCTATTGTCATCACAAATCTGAAAATGGTTAGAGAGACGTCTCAAAAAACTTTCTTAACTTTTATTTTAAAATATAATTTAAATATGCACATACGACAGTCTAGCCTTCAATTTCTTATTATATCCACACAAAAGGAACGAAACATTTTTTATTCTACTTCATGTGATACGCAAAGTATAATTGCAGCACGGCAAAAGGAAGCGTTGCAGTGGGATTGTTTACCCTAAAATTCGAGTAACAATTAAACTTATATTGTGGTTTTAAGGATATGTGATTTTCTCCAATACCAATTGATAAGCAAGAAAATAAACGGGTAAATCAGAGAATGAAGTTAATCAAATGTCACGACCCCAGTTCGCCCTCCGTGAACATGTCGTGACGGCACCTAGTCCTTACGACTAGGTAAGCCTAACAATGCGGAAGATAAACCATAATTGCGGAAGAAAGTAAATAAAACTGAACTGGTAAAATAAAACGGTGTTTAAGGTACCGCTCGGCACATACCACAACAATTCTCGAAGCTAACAACATTCCCAAAACCCGGAAACTCACAAATCACAAGCTAAGGGATACATAAGAGGCTCTAACTCAAGAATATCTATACAAAGGAGAAATGCTGAAAGAGCTATACTTATTACAGAAAGCTGGAAAGGGACTCCTCGGTCTGCGGAGTAGCAGATATACCTCGAAGTCTCTACTGATACGCCTCCTTCCAAGGCTGACAGAACTGAGTGGGAGTACCTATATCTGCACAACAAAAATGTGCAGAAGAGTAGCATGAGCACACCACGGCGGTGCCCAGTAAGTATCAAGACTAACCTCGGTGGAGTAGTGACGAGGAACAGTCAAGGCACCTACCGGTCAATAAATAGTATAATCATAGGAATAATGGAACCGATATATAAATATGTAAAGACTGCATGAATGACCAAAAAATGCTACAACTCACAATAAGGGAAAAGGGCAACAAGTAACAACGAGAATATAATAAATGATGATACGAAAATGACGGCAGAACCACAATACAAATCCTAAGGGGAAAAATAAGTCAATAACTCATATCCTACAATGATGTTCACATAAGGTCTTGTTCAACTCTTTCCACAATTTTACCAAGCCTCGGACAAACCACAACTCACGAAGACCCGACATCTGAAACCTAACACTTGGCATCCTGTGCCCCATCAATCTCATGGTCATGCTGACAACTAACTGGCTAGCTAGGGCCACTCTCACATATATAATGGATAAACGAGGGCGTATCTCCACCCTTAGCAAAATCGGAAGGAATTCACCTCTGATGGGGTGCCCAACTACGTGAATGCTTGTGCAAGTGCTTTTAACAAGAATTCTACCAACTAGAAAACATGAAAAGGAGAACGGACCGCACGTACGAATGATTCCTCACAACTTCCAAGCGGTAACACTCATACATGTGAGCAACCCACAATCACAATATAAAACAAATAGGAATGCCTCCACAGGCCGTCACAATTCTTTACAATCAACCCCTGACATAGCCCACCTTATTTCGCCACGCGTGCAAATAATAATATAATAGGCACCGCCTTATTTCGCCACACGTGCATCACAATATTCCCACCTTATTCCGCCACATGCGCAACCCACATATAAGCATATGACATATCCCGCCTTATTACGCCGCATGTGCAAAACATCAATAGCAACAATAGCACGGCAAAGACCTCTTGCAACCCTTCAACAACAACCGCACGGCAGAGACTTCGTGCATCACAGTACCAACAGCCGCACGGCAGAAACCTCATGCATCACAGTATCAACAACCGCACGGCAGAAACCTCGTGCATCACAGTATCAACAACCGCACGACAGAAACCTCGTGCATCACAGTCTCAAATACCACACAACAAATGACAATATATACGGGAACAAAGCATGAGAATCACAACTAACTCATAAGGAATAACCGTAACACAGAAATACTAAGCGCAATAAGAACAACTCAACAAGGAGAAATAATACGAAACAACAATTCCAAAACACTCAGTTCAACAACAAGGAAGTTAACATGAATCAAATAATTATAATTAAGGAAATATCAACTAAACATAGGATATCTAACTTCTTTCCAATTAAGACCAGTTAATTACACGAGAGATAGAAATAATGCTTTCCAGATAAAGACAAGCAGTTAGGAATGATAATATGACTATAGAAGGGTAAATGTCTACAGTTAAACAAGTAAAGTCAATTAGGCAACACGAATAACCAAAAAGGGCAGATAAATTCCAAGTAAGTCATGTAGAGGTGAAACTAATAACAGGGAACTCAATCGTATCAAGAACAACTTCATATTCGGTGATTACAAGGATCTAAGAACCTAAAAGGGGCAATTTTCCACAAATAAATCCTATCACGCACTCGTCACCTCGCGTACAGGGAATACAATCAACAAAGAAAACTCAAATCCTAAGGGGAAGTCCCCCACACAAGGTTAGGCAAGATACTTACCTCGAACCGGCTAAAATCAACTAGCAACCATGTTCTTGCCACGAGTACTCGACTCCAAATGACCCAAATCTATTCAATTAAATCACACGTTGTAAATAACATCTCAAGCAACTGATCTTACTATTTAATTCAAAGCTAAAACGCGAAATTACGCAAAATGACCAAAATGCCCTCAGGCCAACATCTCGGAATCAGATAACTTTTACATTTTCAGAACCCTCGTACTCTCACGAGTCTAACCATATAAAAATCTCCCAAATCGGAGGTCAAACACCCCCTCAAAACTCAATAATTCGGTCTATGAAGTTGTACCCATTTTTCATTAAAAATCTGAAATTAAAGGATGAAATTAAGAGGAGATTCATGGAAATTGGTCTAAATCGAGTGAG